GCAGTCACGCTCTCTCATCCTAACCTGCCCCACAGAGTTGTTTTTGTGAAGATAAAATGAAGAATGGAAAAACAAGTTTTGGTCTCCCCCACTGTGAAGAAAAGTGGGGTGTAAATATCTCATAAATAAGTTCCATGTATCCATCTCTCCTCTGCAATTCATAGATTCATCAGTGCCACCTCCTGCTATTCTTCCCAGCAACTCTTCCCCCCCCCCCCCCCCATCACTCCCTGCCACAGAGTTTGCATGGTTTATCGCACACAACCAATAATTAGTCCATGGGGCTGTCCCTCCCTTTGCTACAGCACAACTGTGTGGACAGTGGAGGCCGCTCCCAGTGTAAGTCCCATATTGAAGACACTACCTCTAAACCACAAAAACAGCAGACACCACAGCTTTGAAACAATTGCAGACATTTATTGAACAGCACCAGGAACAGAGTTCTGAATGCAAGTCAGGACAGGTGAATGGGTTGCCAGCTGCCTTGGTCCAGCTAGGCTCCTGTGCTTTTGAAAGCTGTGTCAATCTCAGAAGAATAGGTTATTATTTTATTTTTATTTACAACATTTATGCCCTGTCACTCTGCCGTCATCAGGGCCACCAAGGTGGCTAATAGATTAAAAACCTACATAAAAAAACACACCTTGAAACCCATGAAAACCAAATGAAAACACATCATTAAAATAATTAAAACCAAGCTAAGATACACACACACAAGCTTAAAAATAACAATTAAAACATAGGTTAGGAAGGAGGGATGACTGAGGGAATAGACAGACAAAATTAAAAGAAGAAGAAGAAGAGATTGGATTCATACCCCATCCTTCACTCAGAGTCTCAGAGCGGCTTACAAACTCCTTTCCCTTCCCCTCCCCACAACAGACACCCTGTAAGGTAGGTGGGGCTGAGAGAGCTCTGACAGAAACTGCTCTTTTTCAAAAACAGCTATTATCAGAACTACAGCTTGCCCAAGGTCATCCAGCAGCTGCAAGTGGAGGAGTGGGGAATCAAACCCGGTTCTCCCAGGTTAGAGTCCACGCACGTAACCACCTCACCAGGCTGGCTCTCTTCATTTGTTGGCAAAAGGGGTCAGGTGGGTCTCTCTGGGAAGAGTTCTAGAGTCTTGGTGCCACAGTGGAAAAAGCTGCCTGTGAGGTTGCCATCTGCCTAATCTCAGAAGGTGGGGGTACCTGAAGCAGGGCTTTGGAAGATACCTGTATTTGTCAGGTAGATTTGTAAGGGTCCTTCTGGTATGCATAGAGATATCCCGATTACTGAATACTCACAATACGAATGACTGTGCTGTAAACACAGGTTTTCTATCTGAAGTACAGAGAGTTGGCCCCATGAGACACTGCCTTCTTAGTCACATCACACTTATGGACCACCTTCCCACAGGAGGCTTGCTTGACCCTGTTGTTTTTCTTTTTATATGGCAGCTAGCAAAAAACCTAAAAGGTCTGGAACACATTTGGGGTAGGTAGCAATTGATTAGTGGTTAAGCGCTATTGTAGTTTGTTTGGTCTACTGAGTCTGTAGTGGTTGCAATTTGTTTTAACAATATTGCTGGATTTTGGTTGATTGCTGAATTTTTTAAAATTCTTAACTGCCTTGGGGAAGGGGTCTTTTTTTAGACCCAGCGGTGGGACATGCATATTCTAATAAATAAGTTTTCATCATTATGGTTTGCATTATACTTTCCTCCAGTTTAGCCAAAACAGAAAATAAACTAACTGGCCTGTCAGTTCCTGGCAGTTCTCTTCTTATGAATTGGCATTATATTGTCCGCTCTCCAAACCTAGATAAGAGGCTGGTTTTAATGATAAGTTGAATATTTTTGTCATTTTCTAAAGTATGTTCTTTCAGAACTCCACTTGGACCTGGAGGTTTGTAAATTTTTATTGTTTATTTAAAACATTTATATGCAGCCTTCTCAGAGACTTGCTTCAGGAGGCTCATGGCGCTAAATATAAAATCATAAAACATTAAAATCATTAAAATTACCAACATTAAGAACCAACCAACAATACCCAGTGACAGCCACAGGTTTTTTGACCCACTAGGCGAGGATACATTCTGGTGCCCCCCCATGTGGGGTGGGCCAGGGGTGGGCGCCAGAGCTGCAGTGGGTGGGCTGAGGGAGTGAACTGCAAATGCATGCTGGGGGTGGGGGTGGGACCGCTCAAGGGGAGGGCAAGGGGGCCTGTGCCAGGTTGCAAAAGGAGCTCCAAAGAGACCATGAGGGCGGGGCGGCAGAGGGCGAGCGGCACTTTCCCGTTGTCCCAGGCTGTTCCCCATGCCTGTCCCCCCTGCCTTCTCTTTCTGTCTGGGGGGCTGCAAAAAGTGGAGTCTCTTGCCAGGGACAGAGCAAAAAGCCGGCAAGGGAGGCTTCCTGTGCGGGGCGAGGAGGGGCCGTCGGCAGCCAGAATTGCATCCTCGTCGAGCCGGCACCCTAGGCGACAGTTTAAATTTTAATAATAATGGGCCGGTTCTGACAATACCTAGTAATAACAACCATGTTTGTGAGTCCAGTGGTCTGAAACAGTCTCCCCTGGACACAGGTTTATTGACTCAGTTCAAGTGAAGCCTTTTCTCCCCTGTTTATTTCTTAGCTCCTTTCTTCAGTCATTGTCACCCGCTAGAATCCTGTAATTTCCCCTTTTATCCCAAATTATTGGTTTTGGGGCTGCAATTATTATTCTGGAATCTAGAATTTGAATCTTTGTTCACAGATGTATTTTCCCCCCACCTTCCTTCCTTCATTCTTTCAGTAGTAAATGGCTGTTTTATCTGGTATCTGCAAATGTCCCCTGGAAGTTTCCTAATAATTAATTTTGCTTTAGACTTCTTCCAAGGCTATAGTGTGATCTGCTGTGAACTTGTTAAATCCGTGCCACCCTCAACTGCAGCCAGTTTTAGACCTAGTGTATCTAATTGTGTCTATTTTCTCCTCTTGGCTCAGAACGAGGAACAAAGAAGAAAGATGGTAAAGTGGGGTGTTAAATTGTTTTGGCAAAGATGGTTCATGCTTAAAAAAACCCCAAATACCCTGCTCACAAGAGTTTCACTGGCCTCGGCCACACGGGCAGGAAAATGCCGGGGGGAGGCGTGGCTGTTTGCCCCGGAGCAAAATAACGCGCGACTGCGCGATCAGACATTGGGTTGAGGTCCCGTCGAGCTCCTGTGGTTAGGGGGGAGGTGCGAATCACATGACGTGGCAAAGAAGCGGAGCGGTGCGGCAAACGGGGTTGTGTTTTTTTAAAAAAAACTGAAATGTGTGCATGCTCCGTTGGGTGCTTGTGCGCATCCCATGGAGACTTGGAAAAAAAACCCCTTTTTGCGAGGGGACATGGGCGGGCGCCAGATGCCACAGGAAACGCGATCAGACGCCCGCCCTTGCCCCGCGGTTTCCGGAAATTAGTACCTCGGAGGTACTAGTTTCTTACCCTGCATCTTCGGCGGGAAGCCTCGGGTGAGCCACGGGAGCTCTACGCTTCCCAGATGTGGCACTGTGATCGCGCCCGGAAAATCCGCCTATCTTCCGTCTCTCTAGCGTGGCTAATGCTCCGTGTGACCGGGGCCTCTGTTTGGCTTAAAGGAAGGGTCATGGTTAGAGCTTCACAGAAGGGGTAAAGTCTGCTCAGCCAGAAGTCCTACATGTGCACTGGAGAATGTACAGAGGACTGATTTTGGGTTTATATACTTGGGTTTGAGCAAGGTGATAAGCCTGTTGTTAAAGAGTCACATACACTTCATATATATGCTTAAGTATGCATCTGAAGAGTGGATATGCCTTTGTCCTTTATAGCTTCCATGGCTGTGATGCCAAGAGAGGCTGCTTCGCCAGTCTTCCTTATCCTGACTTTCTGCATGCTGATAGGGTTGCCAACCTCCAGGTGGGACCTGGAGATCTCTCAGTATTACAACTTATCTCCAGATAATAGAGATCAGTTCCCCTGAGAAAATGGCTGCTTTGGAGTGTGGACTCTGTGGTACTGTACCCTGACGAGGTCTTTCCCCTCCCCAAACCCTGTTCTCCCCAGGCTCCACCCTCAAAATCTCCAGGTATTTTCTAACCCAGAGTTGGCAACCCTAGCTGACCATGGTATGTGCCCTTACTCCAGGAGCACCCTGCCTGTCCTGATAGACATTTCACTAGTTAAAGAAGAACTGAATATTTAAAGAAATGGTCCAGTTGTTCTGTTCTGTAATTTGGCCCTTCCCCCTCAAAACACCATGGAAAACCTTTTTTCTTAATGTCCTCTCTTAAATATTGTTTGGACCAGTGCAGCTAGTTTCATTAACCCAATAAGATGGTGATGAGATTATTAAAAATTAAAACAGGGAAAGGTGTTGTTTCAGTTCATCACCTGGGAAGGGGTGAGTGAGTAGAGGAAGGAAAACAGTGTTTTAAAAGCTTGCCAGGAGCTTGTTTATTTCTATTTCTGCAGAGGATTCTTGTCAGCCCCAAATGTTGATGTCTTATGACAAATGATGCCTTGCTATGTTTTGTGCCCCTGCTGGAGTCCCCATAGAATTCTAGGGGACACAGTGTTTCAATTTACTGTAGTTTACTTGTGTGGGAGAAGGGGGAAATTGACATTGTCTGAATCTATGCTAAATCTGTACTGGCCGTTAAGAGACCTAGAAGAAAACAGAACTGAGGATTTCCATTGGAGAAGTGTGGTTTATCCTGGAATGAAAGGTGCCCTTTGCCTTTTCTTTCTTAATTACACCACATTTATCCTAGCTGCTGTCACTCCATCTAGTACTTATACTAAGATGATGTTTCCACCTTCTCCAGCCCTGTTCAGCTTTTCAACTTCACCTTGCAACATCCTTTTTAATATTTCACTACAGTGCTTCTCTCCCGTCTCTCTCAATTTCCCCCTACAGAGCTTCCTCCTCCTAGTATAATGCATCAATATTGTTTCTGACCCTATTGACCGACCACTGCCTCTCTTTCCAGATGCACTTGTAACCTGTATCCTTTTCTATAGGTCACAGAACTTTGTTCATTGGTGTTCACGTCCCACTGGGAGGAAGGAAAAGTCATCGACGTCATAGACACCGTGGACACAAACACAGAAAGAGAGACAGAGAACGAGATTCAGGGTTAGAAGATGGGAGAGAGTCTCCTTCGTTTGGTAAGTTTTTTTTAAAAAAGCTTATGCCATTTGTAAATGATCTGTGTAATGATGCATCCAGAAGTGATGCTGTTGCACCGGGGTACGGGGCAATGGGGCGAGGAGGCAGCGCTGCCCGCTGACGGTGCGAGCCCATGCTGGCGTTGGCCGGAGCAGGGGGGGCTGAGCGGCGAGACAGCGCCCTGAGTGAAAGTGCAGCTCCCCGGCCCTCCTCCTCCTCCTCCGCCACTGCAGCTGCTCCATCCTGGGTGCGGGGCGGTGGGGTAAGGAGAAGGCGCCACCTGCCGATGGTGCATGCGAGCCTGCGCCGACCTTGGCCAGAGCAGGGAAGGGGGCTGAGCGGCGAGACAGCACCCTGCTGGAGAGCAGTTTGGCGCCCTAAGGGCTGGCTCGCGCTCTAGGCGAATGCCTAGTTCGCCTAGCGGGTGAGCCGGCCCTGGATGTACATCGACCATTCTGCACCTTAGCTTGTTTTACTAGTGTATTGCTACTCTTCCCGAGCCTCTATATTGCCTCTATGCCCAGTCCTCGTTAAAGAAGGTGGGAGGAGGTAGAATGTGATGTTGGTTACTTCTGCTTGCAAGTCTGCCACTTTCATGAGCTGCATTCTATAGGCTGTGCTAGCACAAAGGTTCTTATGAGAAGCTAAATGTGCATCCAGAGCAGTCACCCTTTGCAGTCTGCTGTTTTCAGGCCATAGTGACCCCTCAACCTACATGCATTGTAATGGGAAGCAATATGAGGACCATGGGCCTTTGTAATCCGTTATAGGCTTCTGTGAAGTTTCTGTTTGGTGCAAATGGCTGGAATGACATGGCTTTTCCTCCTCCCCCTCCTCCCCCTTTCCAGTCACTTTTTCGCAGTGATAACCTAGGATGCCCCTGAAATCTGCCTCATGAACTATTCCTGGAAGGCTCCAGTGAAGATATGTCCTTGCTTTACAGCAGTTTTCTTACTAGATTTTTCCTCCCTGCTTTATTCAGATTCTGGTTTTATCTACAGGTTGATGTGTTTTGAATCCACGTAGAACAAAGGAGTGCTCATGTAATTCTTATGGAATGGACAGTTTCACCCAACCCATTGGGTACAAGTTATATATAACTATATCTGCTGTGAAATCATGAGGAAATAAAATCATTAGGACATTTCCCCCTTAAATTCCAGGTTACTATACATTCTTAAAGGATTGAGTTGGTGACTTCACCCCCCCCCCCCCCAAGCATCTTCCGTCCTTCTCCTCCTCTAATGCAAACTGCACTCAGGGTTCTGTGCCTCTTAGACAATGCTGGAGTGTGTGTGTGTGTGTGGGGGGGATTCTTACTTTACTATAAAATAATGGGTTGGATCCTAACAGTGGTTTTGTGGATACAGGGACTCCTGCCTGCAGAGTGTGATTTCTCAAAGCTCAGTCTTCCCATGGCAGCCCAGAATTCTGTTCCTGGGGATCTCCCCAGGATATTCTTTTTTGGGGGGAGATCAGGAACTCTGGCTTGAGAAATTCCTAGAGTTTTGGAGGGTGGTGCCTGGGGAGGGCAGAGTTTGTGGGGATGGAGGTCACCTGGCATGTTGTGCTATGGAGTCTGCCCTGCAAATCTAGCGTTTCATCTACAGCAGCTGACCTCTGTAGTCTGGAGATGAGCTGTATTTCTAGGAGAACTCCAGGCCTACCTGGAGCTAGTTGGTAACTCTGCCTTGCATTCACAGAAATGCTGCCCTGGATCAAACCCACTATGCTTTCTTAGTCCTCTCAGCAGACTAGTCCCCTGAGCTCATTTACCTCAGAGTAAACTCCATTGAATACAGTGGGGTTTACTGCTGAGTAAAACTGCAAAGGATTGCTCTGCTGTATGTCTAGGGGTTTTCCGTTCTACAAAAAAGCACATAACCCTAGGGTTGTTTTGCTGTTACAAGTAGAAGATCATGGTGGATCTTACTAACAGAGAGCCATTTTCCGCTTGTGCAATAGTGTAACTTGCTGTTCTGAAGGAAAAAGCACATACAGGATGAAAATACTTTCAAGGTTATAATAAGCAGAGAGACAGAAATGAAAACACTTGTGAGGAAACCATATCACACCACACCATAGAACAAAAGAATATTTTAGCTTACCTGAGAAGTGGAAATGCCAATATAATTTTAGGTTGTGGAGCACTCCTTACAAAAGCCTTTTATTTTCAACTGGATTTTAAATTATATGTGTTGAAAGTGTGGAAGAAAAGTGTTAAGAAGGCTAGGGCTTTAGAAAAGGGCTTGGAATCCCTAACATTCCTCACATTTTAAAAAATGTAAGGTGTACGGAAGCAAAATAAAACGTCAGTAAGAATTAAGAGGGTTAAGAGTGGGTTGGGTCACTGAGAATGAATAGCAATTCAAAACCAAATGATTGAGCTGTATCTATTTTGGGCAAGCTGCCATTACCTCAGGATCCTAAAAGTAGAGATGGAAACACATCCTCTCACACATTTCAAATCACCAAAAAGCAGATGCTCCTAATCCAGGAAGTGCATTATTATTTTAAAGTATCTTACCAGTTTGCTAAAAGGAGAATTGAAAAGACAAATAACCAAGGACTAGAACATACATAATGGATGATGTAAGTAATGGATAAATATATGTCATGGCCAATTTCCCCCCTCTGTAACCAGAAATAGCTGTAGGATGCACAAGAGCAGGATTTGAGTCCAGTAGCACTTTACAGACCAACAAGATTTCCAGGGTATAAGTTTTTGAGAGTCAAAGCATCCTTTGTCATATTTTGACTCTTGAAAGCTTATACCCTGGGAATCTTGTTGGTCTTTAAGGTGCAACTGGACTCAAATCTTGCTCTTCTACTACACACCAGTATCACTATCAATCTGGATCTATCTTCACAAGATGAACAAGGTTTTTCAAGAGGGGGGATGGCTGTGGTAATCTTTACATCGGGGTCCCCAATGTGGTGCCCACTGACACCTTTCCCCGTAGAAAGTGGGTGAGGCCTAGAGTTGCCAGATCCTCCCAGCACGTGGGGGATCCCCTGGTTTCCAGTGCTCCTCCCCGTTGCCGGCCAGCAAGGGATAATTACCGCCCTGAATGCAACTTGCCTACCTCACCCGTAAGTGGTGTAGGCACATCGGTGATACTCTGGTTTTTGGGCAAAAGTCTATGGTAGAATTAGCTTATACCGTAGAGTTTTGCCCCAAAACTAGAATGTCGCCTCCCGACGTCACGAACATGCCTATGTCACTTCTGGGTTACATAGGCTCAGCGTGCTTCTTCCCTCCCCTCTCCAGGAACATCCTGGTAAGTCACCTGCCGGCTTGTCTTTTGGACCCTAGTGGGGCCAGGTGGGGCTTTCCCCCCACAGGACTTCTAATTGACCACTGGAGATTTGATTGGCTGTGCAGATTTTTAAAAATGTTCCTTTAGCAGCAGCTGCCACTACAGCACAAGGATCTTCACAGTGTGACTGAAAGTAAGCTGCGGCAGCCAGTTTGTGATTGCTTTGCCTACTGTGGGAGCCACTTTGTGGCTGCACCCATCATGCTGTGTCAGATTTCCAATAGGAGATTTCTGTGAATTAATTGTGCATGACTAATGAGGCCATTAGTCTTTGCTGCACTCAATTTGCCAGCAAATTTGGAAAATGCAACAGTGGCCACAGGATTGGAAAAGGTCAGTATACATTCCAATCCCAAAGAAGGGCAATGCCAAGGAATGTTCAAACTATCGCACAATTGCACTCATATCACATGCTAGCAAGGTCATGCTCAAGATCCTACAAGCTAGGCTTCAACAGTACGTGGACAGAGAACTGCCAGAAGTACAAGCTGGGTTTCGAAGAGGTAGAGGAACTAGAGATCAAATTGCCAACATTCACTGGATTATGGAGAAAGCAAGAGAGTACCAGAAAAACATCTACTTCTGCTTAATTGACTATGCTAAAGCCTTTGACTGTGTGGATCACAACAAACTATGGCAGGTCCTTAAAGAGATGGGAGTACCAGACCACCTCACATGTCTCTTGAGAAACCTGTATAAGGGCCAAGAAGCGACAGTTAGAACCGGATATGGAACAACTGATTGGTTCAGCATAGGAAAAGGAGTACGACAAGGATGTATATTGTCACCTTGCTTATTTAATATATATGCAGAGTACATCATGCGAAATGCTGGCCTGGATGAATCACAAGCCAGAATTGAGATTGCTGGGGAAAAGATCAACAACCTCAGATATGCAGACGATACCACTCTAATGGCAGAAAGTGAAGAGGACCTAAAGAGCCTCTTGCTCAGGGTAAAAGAGGAGAGCGCAAAAGTGGGCTTGAAGCTCAACATCAAAAAAACTAAGATCATGGCATCCGGCCCCATCACTCCTTGGCAAATAGAAGGGGAAGTCGTGGAAGTAGTGACAGACTTCACGTTCCTGGGATCCCAGATCACCGCAGACTGTGACTGCAGCCATGAAATTAAAAGACGCCTGCTCCTTGGGAGGAAAGCGATGGCGAACCTAAACAGCATGATAAAAAGTAGAGACATCACCCTGCCAACAAAAGTCCGCATGGTCAAAGCAATGGTATTCCCAGTAGTCATGTATGGCTGCGAGAGTTGGACTATAAGGAAGGCCGAGCGCCGAAGAATAGATTCTTTTGAACTATGGTGCTGGAGAAGACTCTTGATTCTTGCCGTTGTTATCAAATACCAGAACAATGTCTTTTTTGTTACATTCAGTTCTTCCATTTTTAAACCTAAGAGTAGAATTTCAGGTGTTTTCTTAAAAGAACATTTTAGAATCTTTTTGCATTTCACTGTGGACCTTTGTCCAAAAGTCCTTAGCTTTGTCGCATGTCCACCACATGTGATAAAATGAGCCTTCATGTTTTTTACATTTCCAACATTTGCTAGACATATTCTGGTTCATATTTGCTATTTTCTTAGGTGTCATATACCATCTATACATCATTTTGTAACAATTTTCTTTTACATTAGTACATACAGATAGCTTCATAGAATTTTTCCAC